GACAAAAGAAAAGGGGCCTATCCTAATGTGAGATAACCTAAGACTTCATATTTCAAATATACCTTGGCAAAATCTAATACATTTAAGCAACAAGGTTCTGCCTGATTTCATTATCATTGACTTATATGACAGTGCACAATAATCACCACTCCATCATAAATATGACAATAAAATTTCTCTATCTAGTTTCAGAAAACTAGTAATACAATATACTAAATAGGCAATAAATAACTTTTTCTTTTTTTTTTTTTTAATCTTAAGTTAGTGTAAAAATAATTGGTTTTTAACCATTAATTTTAAAGCAGGATATCTCAGCAGAATAAAACTTATTTAGTGAAAAATAAAAAAAACAAAAAAAACATTAGAATCTATGCATTTTTTTATCACCAATAAACAAGTCTGGTAGCATAGAATTTTGAAGTTTTGAAATGTCGCTTGGTTATTAAAGACCATTTATTGCAGGAAAATGTCAAAATGCTTGGGAAAATGGTACTTGTTTGAAGAGAGATCCAGTGATTAAGCTGGATGAGGTAGTTTTCATTTAATTTTTGCAGTGTCATTGCAAGATATGCAGTTGGGTGTTGTCATGGAGAAGAATTGTTTTTTTTTTTTCATTTGATAAATGTTGGATGAAAACCCTTTAATTTTTGATGCTTTTGGTCAATTTTTTGCTAATATTGACTCTGCTGCGATGGGTTTGCCAAGAATCAAGAAATTATTGATGATTCCACTTGCTGTGACCACTAGACAGTGACAGTATCCTTCTTTCAATGTAACTTTGGTATTGGCAAGTGTTTTGCATGGAATATTGTCAGTTGTTTTATAGAAGCCATTTTCATTATATGTTACAATGTGATCAAGAAATGCTTTGTTTTTGTTGTGTTTATGAAGCACACAGCAGATTTTGTAATGAATTTTTAAAGTTTTTTTTGTTCAGTTTATGCAACATTTGTTGAGTATTTTTCATTTTACTTTTTAATCAAGTTATTTTGTGTGGGTTCATTTCAATAATAGCCCTAAATATAGGGTATTGTCAGACACAGAAGAACATTTTCAACTATCCTCATCTTCACAATTCTTATCACAGAAAATATTCGGAGCCATTTTTGAACTGTATATTCATTAATGGTCACTTGACTAAAACCTTGGTTGATATTGCAAGCAGTTTCAACCTAAAGTCCCATTTTGAAAGTGTAGAATCCATTTTTCATCACATCATAATGCATTCAAGACAAAGTGTTTTTGTTGCACAAATAATTGAAGAGCAGACTTCATAAAAGCAATATCTTTTATTCAGCTTGTGAAGCTTCCATTTGTTCAGTCTTTTTGATTTTTCAACTTGACACAAGCACCAATTGTCAGAATTTTGTTTTTAAATAATAATGGTTTATTAATGAAAATTCTAATTAACACACGGCTGGTTGGAAAAGAGGTGGATTCATACTTCTCCCAAGGGTATTTGCATGTAAATCTATACAACAAACCTGACATAAATTGGAATTCGGCTCTTTGATTTCCAATTCCAAGCCATTATCTATTACACTACCAACGCATCCATGCTTACAGTACCTGGTATTCCCAAGTGGTCACCCATCTAGGTACTGACCAGGCTTGATGTTACTTAACTTCATTGATCATACAAGAACCGGTGTTTCAATATGATACAGTCATAAGCCATGCCACCTGCACATTTATGCTTACATCACCTGGTATTTCCAAGTTGTCAGTGATCTAAGTATACTGACCAGGCTCAATATTGCTTAACTTTAGTGATCATACAAGAACTGGTGTTTCACTTTAATATGGCCATAAGTGTATTAAGTCAAGAATGTTACAGCTCTTTACTTAAAGATAGAACTTTACAGCATGTATTTGGCATATTTGAATTGTCAGTATCATTTATTCTTGCAGCTGAAGTATGTTTCTTAAGTAAAACATATGACTTGTTCATTGCTAGGGTTGATCTCAGATAAATGAATCAGCTAAAAGAGGATTATTGTATATTAATACACTTATTTATCTATATCTACCTACCTACTTGCCTATACCAATTCCCAAAACACTATCATCTCCAATTGCATAACTTCCCATAGATCTCTTAATGATTTGTAGCTTTATAGTGTGTGTAATGCTTTCATTATTTCCTGTGGGCAAACGTTCATACTAGAAAATATAGTTCAATTATACATAGTTTTCTATCCTTGGCCTTGTGCCCATTTAATATCTATGACCTACTTCTAATACAAATTCAGTTGGGTTGTTTGAGGGAGGTGGTGGATATCTTTGCTCTTCCCTTCTCCTGTTGGTTTCCTCTGTCTAATAAGATAATGACTGTGACTGAACAAGCTGATTTGAGTACTAGTCCTTGATACAGCTGCTACACTTGAAGCCATTTTTTTTTTTTTTTTGTCAGACTAAATTCATTAATTTAATGATAAAGTAAAAGTTTCAACAAAGGGAATGGCTTGATGATTATCCAAATCTCTAGTGGAGTAAATTTGATTCTTAATTAGTGTTCAACTGTTGTGGCCTTGTGCCAGACTAAGATAAGCTGAGTAAAAAGCTATTTAGTATTAATTTCAATTTGGTAGAAAGCACAACCACCCCTCCCACCCCCAGAAAATTTGTCATTACCCATTTTTGCTGAGTGCTGATCTTTGTACAAAAAGGTGGAGGTTGTTAAGTGAGTTATTCATTCATTTATTCAGTTAGTGCATTTTGTGCCACTGTGGCAACCACTCCCCTATTTCTGTTGTAATTGGGGTTTATGGTGATATTCAAAGCAAAATAGTGCAATGACTTGCCTATTCCTTTTGCAATTGGTGATGTTGAGGTTACCCTGTCCCTCCTATCAGATGTTCCTCCACCCACTGGTAAAGCCATTGACCTCTGAAGTACAGTTCCTATGCCCAGGTTGGTGACTGGCCAATGACTGCTCAGCACAGGTGGGTGGGGGAGAGGTGTTTCCCTTCACTGGTCTATCAAAAACCTATCCAAATTGCCATTGAGTTGGGTGTGGCTGTCGTAGTGCTCATGCGGCTTCTTGGAGCCATGTGTGAGAGTTAGATGTCGGCCATAGACCAGTACAGTTCTGCATCCCAATTTACCTGAGTAAATCAGCATTGATCACTTTGCTACAAAGGTACTACCACTGATAATACACCCCATAGTGAGTTATAAATGAATTAAATTCTTTTCAGTAACATTAATGCAAACAAATGGCTCTGAATGGTGTAAGCACTGTATTTTGTTACTTATTATTACTAGAAAGCCTGTGAAAATTTCGCTGTTTTCCTATTTAAATTTCTGATGAATTTTAATTCTTAACTTTTAAATTAATGATTAAATAAGCTCATGGCAACTATTTACATTATTCGGACTATTGTCCTCATCTTTGTTGCCATATTTATTACAACATTTTGGCTATTGTACGCTCCGGCCTTCTCCAGGTGGTTGGAATGAAGAAGGAAAGTAAACAGCCAAAACGTAATAAATATGGCAACAAAGATGAGGACAATAGTCCGAATAATGTAAATAGTGTACATAATACCTCATCTCAGAAATATAGACAGATACGGAAGCTCATGGCAAGTTCTACAACAATAAAATATCTGTAGAAATTCCCCTATTGTATCGTTAAATATTTGAGTTTAATAACTTTAACAAAATAATGCAACAGCATTTTTAAGATTTTAAATTGACAACTTTTCAATTTTACTGAAACAGCTATTAAAAACTATTCTCCCTTTTTTTTTCTCTTTTTCATTTTCTCAAGTTCCCCCTCTTTCCAGGGGTAAAAATGGAATTGTTTATGAGGTATTGGAAGGAGACATTAAACACTTTTATCTTCACTTATTTCTTTCTGACCAAATCCCTGTGTTACAAACATTTCTCTTAATAATAATTTAAAAATAATTCAATAATGTTATTTTATTCAATTTATGGTAATTGGATTTTTGGTGATTGCTTATTTGGTTTCCATTGTTCAATACTGTGTGTCAGAAAAATGGCACTTTTATTGCAGTCACCATAGTTTCTTGGTCTTTTGACTGAGATCAAAGTATAGTATCTGTTCTTTTCATCTTAATCTTATTCTCTCTCTATCTCTCTCTCCATTTCTATCCCCCCTTCTTTCTTTCATTTTCTCACTGAAACCAAGTAATGGTGATCAAAAAAATGGAATAGTCCATTATTTATGAGGTATTAACAAGACATAAGTAAGGGAAGGACAAACAGTATTATAATAGGATTATTATTATTAACAAAAACTTATTGAGCAAGTTCCAACACTCTGTCCGTGTTTCTCTACTAGAATTCCATGAAAGAAACAGTAATAAATAGGCTGATACATTTTTAAGTGATTTTTGTTTAATTTTATATTTGTAATTTTGCTATAAACGTACAGCATATCATTGGAAAATCCTTGGTTTATTATAATAAAGGTTTCAACCTCTTATATTATTTAAAATTATAACATAGTATTATCATGTATTTAGCAGTGTTTATATGATATCAGTGTGAAACCACCTTCACTGGTTAGTGGACAGGATCTGTATGTAGCAGATTCATGTATTATTAAGTGACTCACTCGAGTACAGTGTGCACTGGTACTTACTCCCTTACTCCCTGACATTCACACACATTATAATTTTTATGTAGAGACATGAAAACTATTTCAAGGGTTCCACAAGGGTAAAAAGGTTGAGAAACGCTACTCTATATACTAGTCATTGATAATCTAGAAGAAATATTTTTTTTGCTGGTTGGGTTTTTTATATGTAAATTATTTACAAATACACAATAGAAATGCTTTGTAAATGTGGAAATAAAAAAAAGTATTGTGATTTGCCAGATACTAATGCAGGTGCTACTGATAGAATAAGGCTATTAAAGATATTGTACCAAAAGTTGCTTTACATGCAGTATTCCAAGGGGGTTCTTTAGCTGTAAACTTCTAAAATGTGTTTACATTCTGAATTTGTATTTATTTATTCTTCCAGGTTTCTGTTTGTTTGCATTTAATGAAAATGGAGGATCTTGAATCAATTGAACAAGATGTGAAAAATAATTTAGATTCTGGAGAGCTTGAGGGTGCAGCTGATGATACTGCAAGACTTTCGGTCAGTGCTGGTGAACAAGAAGTTATTGGTCTTCTGCTACATACAACTGAAGTAAGTACTTTGCCTTTTTATTGGTTTTGTTGAATGCAAGAACAAACCTTTTAATCTGAAGTTTTGGTATGAAGCCTTTTTACCATTCTGTAAATTATTTTTGCTATCATCTTCATTTGTTTTTTTCTTTTTATCACTATGTTTTCAACTGATACCATCTTCTTTCATGTATTGAATTTCTAAGTGAGGCTTAGATGTGGCACATGGCCTACCATCTTCTTTCATGTATATTGCACCCAGAAGCATTACCCAGTCTGTTTTTCTTTAGTAGAAACAATCTTCAGATCAGTTCTTATTTTTAAAAATAATTTTAACATTAAAAATTGTACCTTAAATCTATTACTTATCTTAATTTTATAAGAAAAAAAAATTACATATAAAAATTAAAAAAGTAAAAACAGACAAAAATACAAACAAAAATAATGTTCAACATGTGAAAAAAAAATATTTCTTTTTAATTATACATCTAATTAAAAAAAAAAAAAATGATTCAAATTATTTTGTTTACTTCTGTTATATTCCGTGCTAAGGGAATAAATACTTAACACCAGGTGGGTAATAGAAGAAAGGTTTATTGTACACAAAAAGTACAATATGAAATACGGTACAGTTATACACACAGGTCAATCTAGTAGTGAGCGCCACTAATTGGAAGGTCAGACATGCTTGTGTCTTCTCTCTCTCACTCCCACTTCAAGTCTCTCATAGACAGTTGACTTTATAGGTACTTACTACCTATAGTGTGTTCATTTATGGGGGTGACTGGTTATTCCATTACATCAACTTCCAAAAGTTAAAAAAAAACAAAACATTTTTAAATATTTGTTCTTATAATTTTTTTTTTTTTTTTTTTTTTTTTCAGACCAATAAAACCTGTTTGACTAGCTTTATAATTTGAAATATTCTTTTAATATTTAACTTCTATAAAAGTAAATTCAGTTTTCTGCTAAATAACTTGATATACTTTATCAGTAAATTTGCAGATTAAGCCCTGGAGTCACGCATAGAAGCTTACTTAGTTAACAGCCTTTTTACTAATCTTCCTATCTTCTTGCTCATCTCAGTTACTGTGCAAAACCAAAAGGAGTCTTTAGACACTTTTTGAAAGTGAAGCTTTTATTGAATTCTTTTTTTAAAAAACTTAAGTTATTTAGAAAAGCAATGAAAAGTGTTGTTTTTTATAGTGAATCTGTAATAATAATGAATTCTTGTTTAAATAATAAAACAAATTTTAAAAGGTAGCTTTTCTGCAATTGTCATTACTATTTTGTAAATAATCATGCTTAAATAAAATTGCTTAAAATTGTTTATATTATTACTGAGATCATGCTTTTTAAAATACCAAATTTAATAAAAAAAAATTAAAAAAAAAGTAATTTGAACCATAAAATTGTTCATGTTATTAAGTCGTTTTTTTAATTTTATAAATAATCTTGCTTTTTAAAATCCCAAATTTAATAACCCAAAACTTGGGTTACTTTTTAAATTTTGCACATTCATTTTAAATTAAAGTTTATGCATTGCATGCACAATAATCAAGACAAGTGAAAGATCCTCACATGACTACTTGAGGCAAACATATGTAAACAATGCCAGTAATGGCTGTAGCTGTGATGTGAATAAGGCCAAACTTATATTGTTGATAACTCTAAATGGTACATTTCTGTAAACTTTTACTGTTATTTTCAAAATAAGCATGCAAGTTTACACCAAAATGGAAATTTTCATTACAATTGGTTTCCAGGGCTTAATCTGCAAATTTTCCACTTTATCTTAAATAAAAAGTTCAATCCTGATTTATTTATTTTTTTTTTTTCTTCTAGGGAAATACTGCTGCTGGCCAGCATCCAATGACAGTGAATATTGAAGGATCTGTGGTTACTGATTCTGAACACACTGTACAGGCTGTCACGTTAGCTGATGGTACCACAGCTTATATCCAGCCTACGAAAGGTTAGTTGTAGGTCATCCCTGACTGAAATCATGTGACTAGACTTTTATTATCTAATAGTAGTAGTAGTAGTAGTTATTGTAGCCTTCTAGAAGTTTGAATTATGTAGCATTTTCATTGTTAATTTCTGACTAGTTCATCCAGTTATTGATACCTTTCTATTGAAATGTAAAAGTTGTTTTATGAAATGGGTGCTGAAAAGTTCTTGGCATGACCAAGAAGCCCTTCACAAAATGTTGGGTCGGGAGTGTGTCAGACTGAAAACTTTTCAGCATCCGTTCATATACTCTAGGACAGTTAAACATCAGGGATCAGAAATACAGAGAATTGTGAGTAAAATAAGATGAAAGATACACCAGGAAAAATGAACTGTTATTAACTAATTTTGATAAGTATTGACTTCATTTTAAGTTTTTACTCAGACTGTCAACTGCCAGTAGTGAGTGGACAATGCATGATGGGAAATAATGGATAAACTTTCAAGAAGATTTGAACTCGTGTCCCTTGTAAAGAAAAAAAAGATAAAAGTAAACTCTAGTGAAAAATTAATAATTATTGACAATGTCCTTCATCTAATCAAAAATGAGGATAAAAGTAAATACTAGTCAAAAACTAATAATAATTGCTGACAATGTTTCATCTACAAAAATATTAATGACATGAGATTAATGCAGGTGACTCCTAAAGCTCACTTATTTGTCCAACTCTCTATTTTATAGTAACAATGTACCTAAGAGCATACACCTATGTTTAGTGAATATCTAAACAGATGATACAATGGTATATGAGTGCACCTCCAAATATCTGGATGACCAGATCCTGGCAGCTGATCTCTCCTCTGGCTAAGCTCAAACAGCTGAATATGGGGTGGGGGGACTGACTTGTTACATTCAATAACTCAAAAACCAAAATAGTAACATTTCATCATCACTGAACAGAATCTGAATTTTCACCTTTGATGAATGGGTATTCTCTCTTGGAGGCTCTTTGCTTTGAACACTTATTGGGACTAAAGTTCACCTCAGACCTCAATTGGAACTTATATAATCCATCATTAAAGGTGCTGGAAAAAATGGTTGGTTCCTTGTACTGCTGCAGTAAGTACCTGACTCCTTCTGCTATGCTGTAACTTTACAAGTGCCAGATCAGACCAAAAATGGAATACTGCTGTCATATCTTGGATGGAGCTACCCAGTCCTCACATTTCAGTCTTGAGAGAGCTCAAAAGTGTCTGCATGGCCTTGTGGGTGGTAAATTATTTTCCACACTGCAACCCCTTTCTCACAGACGAAATATTGTAAGACTATTGCTACTCTGTTGCTATTTCCTTAGAAAATGTTCTGACAAACCGCATTCCTTATTTCCACCAGTCTTCACCTTTACAATTCTGACATGCACTGGGTGAACTTTAGTTAAAAAAAAAAAAAAAAAAATTAAATGTTCTAATTTTCTTTTTTTTTCTTCATCTTATATTTTTAGTTGAAGAAGCCAAATTCCTAGAAGGCACAGCTGTAACATTAGATGATGGCACAACTGCAATTATGCACACAGGGTTGGCTGAAAAGGCTGAAATAGGTAAATAGATCGTTTTCTTTTGTTCGCTCTCCACCCATCAGATTGTTGGTAAAAAATAATTTTGCTTTTATTAGGTAAGAAGTAACAGTGTTATCATCCAAACATTTTCTACTATTTTATTAGACCACTGTATAATGCACACTTTAAATTTTGGAGTTAAAACAAAAACAAGTTTCCAAGTATTTCCGTCAGGTTGTACCCAAATTTGAAAGATGCATAGAAAGGTCAACATTTTTTTAAAGTTGCTATTTAAAATTGGATCAAAAGTAAACCAGAAACTTTCTTTGTACACATAACAAAAAAAGCAGAGATGTTTGTAAAAATGTGTAGCACTAACTGGAGACTATGTTGAAAAATAAACTTTATTTTTGAAGACAAACAAATTTCCACCATTTTGATCCCAGTTTCATTATTCTATCTGGTCTGAAACTTGTTTTATAGAATCAGAGACTTTATTAACCCTTGTAATTTTAAAGAGAAATAAATTGACTTTATTTTGATCCCAGTTTCATTTATTCTATCTGGTCTAAAATTTCTTTTATAGAGACCTTATCTGTCATTCCATGTATTTATTAAGTACTGACTGTGTTGAAATTGTAATTTTGAAGAGAAATAAATGTATTTTGATACCAGTTTCATTTATCTCTCTGCTCTAAAACTTTTTATAAAATTGGAGACCTGATATATCTATCAACACTTGTAGATTTGTAAAGAAATAAATTGATTTTATTTTTATACCAGTTTCATTATTCTAAAATAAAACGTTTCCAGATCTGGTGTAAAACTTGTTTTGTAGGATTGTTGAGCTTACTTATCAATCAACCTTTCTATTTATAATGATTCAGATCAACATTTACTAAGTTTAGCTTAGTAAACTTTGAGACTAACATGAGGGAGAAATAAATGTAGCAAGTTTGTGTTACACCAATTTTCCAAGTGGGGAATACCTTGGAAATCAGCAACTGAAATTTTGACTTTTACTCAAGCTTGAGCAGTAACCTTGGACATCCAGAATATATTGCTAATAATTTTTTTTTTTTAGTAGTTTTAAAAAAAAAAAAAAGAAACAGTAAAATAAAGGGACAGATTCTAATCTGTATCTGAAGGCTTTGAAATAAAAGTCATCTGCACTAAAACAATAACCAAATTAAAAAATAAGTGTGTAAAAATGAATAAAACATTTTCTCATTTTTCTTTAACTTTTTTTCATTAAAAAAAAAAAAAAATAAAAATCTATTAACTATACATCAGTGGACGTCTGGAAACCTAGATACAAAATAGTCTTCCTTCCTATGATCAGAATGTCTACTTTTAGATTTAAATTTGAGCCAGCTGTGATTATATCATCATAAAAGTAAAAATTAATTGTAACGCACATCTTTCTCATAATTAATAAGAGATTTTTATCTGTCATTGGGAAATAACTAAGTTAAACTTTGTCTTAATAACAGTACTAATAATTTTTTTTTCTTTCTCTCTCAGTCCCTGAACCAGAAACCACAACAAAGTTTGTTGACGGTCAACCAGTGCAATTAGAAGATGGCAGCACAGCCTATCTTCATCATCATCACAAAGGTATTCACTTCATTCTTTCTCATTTTGTAAATTGGCTTCTTTTTTAGCCTCTCTCTCTCTCGTTTGCTTTTACTTTCTTTCTCACTCTATTGTGCTCTCTCTCTCTCTTGCTTGCCTTTTCTTTCTTTCTTACTCTTTTCTGCACTCTTTCTCTCTCACTCCCTCTTGTTGCTTTTTTTCTTTCTTACTCTATTGCTCTCTCCCTCTCTTACATGCACACTTTCCAGCTTTCAGGTTATCAAAATTACAAGTATTTTTACTTATAATAAACTTCTACCTATCCCACCTACACAATGCATGCATGAAAAATAACTTCTAGATATAATTCCACTTTCAGTTTTATTTAATTTCTTTATTCATTTAGTTTGTATTACATCAGACAGAAAATCTTTTATATATTTTTACAAAACCCAACTGGCATGAGATAGTTTTGCTATTGTATATGCGTGTATATTTTATATGTAGATACATATAAACTTAAGTAGAATTTGTCTACTATGGCAAAACTATTTTCATGTACAACCTTAGAATATGTTTGAATTTTTATTGGACTCTGGAGATTTTTCAAAATGTTTTTCATTGGGAACTGGGGTTATATCTCTTTTCTTACATCTAGTTTTATCTTTAACAATTACTGTTTGTAACTCTTTGGTGTAAGACTATAATTCAAAGTGGCATAAAATCTGTTTAAAATGAGATAGGATGCTGAAATTATTCAGGATCAGCTCCTCTGGTGAATGTTAACAAATGGTGAAAATTTGGATAAAATCTGAGGACCTTCAAGATGGCACCTTGTTGAATCTGACTGGAATGACCCAGCGATGTCTATTCAATATGTGCACTTACTAAAATTATGTTTATTGTAATTAAACATATTGTTAGATAAAAAAAAAATTAATTGCTTAAAATGTATATAAGTAAATGACCCCCAAAAACTTCTTACACATTTCATTTTGTGAAAGAACTGGAGACTAATAAGTGGGGGAGAAAATACAATAAAACATTGGGGTCAGTTTACTTTGAATGTTTACCTTTAAATTTAAATTTTGCCATCTGGTGCATCAGGATATACAATTTAGCTTTTTATTGCTTTTTTTTTCCCTTACGTTTTTATTGTGCAGTTTTCAATTATTCTCCCATACTGCAGCAACTGTACACTTGTAAGGAAAGGAGATATGTTGTATGATCCTGGATGTAAATTTATCATAAAGTGTGTGTGTGTATATATATATATATATATATATATATATATATATATATATATATATATATATATATATATATATATAACTTGAATCAACCAACAGCCACAGGTGACCCTCTCAGAAACATCTGGGGAAAATTCATAGATGTTCTTTGATCAAACTTATTGATAAATCCCAAATATTAGATCTTTATCTTTTTAATAGTTTTAAAATCAGACCATATTGAAATTTAATTACATTTTGCTAAATAACACTTTCAATGAAATTCTGATCTTCATGGTTCCAAGGATATTGCAAGTGCAGATTTGAAACTTGATGACAATAATTAATATTTACTGCAGATTACAAAAATATAAACTGCTTAGGAATGACTTTTGCTTTTATAAGAACCAGAAAATAGCCAAAATTCAAAAAGACATTGTTCACGCTGAGAGTTTCTCATTTACAAAGTATGCCAGATAAAACACCCAAATTAGTTTTCATATCATTTATAACCAAATAGGTTATTTCTATGCAGTAACCATATTCACACCTGTTATAGAAATGTCAGTATTGGTGTTTGAAATATGCTCTTTTTTTTTTTTTTTTTTTTTAATTTAATTCTATACAATATTCTCTTGCCTTTATTGCAGAAGGTCTCCAGCCTGTACAGTTAGAAGATGGTACCACAGCCTATATTGCTCACACTAGCCCCCAGACTCTCTTTGGTGATGCAACAAACTTGGAAGATCCAGAAGCTCTCCACTTGGAAAATCTTAATTCACATGTAAGCATTGAAATGAATATTGCAGGAGAAATATGATATATAAACTTGGAAATTATCTAACTAAGGACTGGTAATTAAAGGGCAAAATGGAAAACACATTTCATTCTTTGAAAAGACTTCATCACACTTTCCATTTTGTCATTCAACAAATATTGTACAAAAAACCTTTAAAACTTAAAGCATAACCACAACTCTGAAAATGATGCTTAAAGTTACTCACTACAATGATGATGGGTAATGAAGATTTTCTTGATATTTTATTCTTCATTGACATATATAGTAATTTTTGCTTTATTTAATGTTTTTTCTTAGTTTATATTTTATGGACTTGAATGGTCATAGTTTTTTTACAACTTCCTCTATTTCTAGAGTAAAATTTACAAAATTATGACTAAGGCTACTTATAAAACTAAATTCTGAACCTGTTTTTAAGTTGAGTTAGATAGCTTATCACTTGATATTGGCTTAGCATAATATTGCTTAACTTTAGTTATTGGTCAATAAATTTGATGTACTTATGTAGATGCATCAATAAATCTGTAGCTCACCATTTTCCAGTTGAAATGACACAATGTAACCATAAGTTCTATGCTGATAGTTTCTTCTCTAGCACTTCTTTCTTGTGGAACTCTCAGATTTCTTGTTTTCCAGTCAACTTTGATCTTCATAAATTTAAATGCAATGTCAATTGTCATTTTTTGTCTTCTTAATTCCTGTTCTTTTATTGTTCTCTCTCTTTAATAATGTTTTTCTTATTCTCTCACACTCAGTAAAACCTTGCATCATAGTGGCTTTATTGCTTTGTTTGGAGTGAAATGATTAAAAATAAAAATCTACCTTGTCAGTACATGTAATAATGCGATCAATATTACATAGATTGATCTTTTATACAATGAAATTTTTTTTCCTTGCTCTCCACTTGAAAAATCTTAATTCGCATGTCAGAATTGAAATAAATATTGTACAAGGAAAAGAATATATAAACTATATATCAGACTAATCATAGGTAATTGGATGACAAAATGGAAAATCTGCTTCATCCTTTGAAAAGACTTCATCAGATTTTTTTTATTTTGTCATTCATAAAAAATTATTCACCATAAAATACAGTGAATAATTTTTTTTTCTCTTTGCTCTACTTCCTTTGTTGTATATATTATTATTACTTTGATTTCATATCCATAGGTAAATATTCTATTAAATTATTACCAACACAACTAAGTAATACAATTATTTAGACCAATATTTTCATTATAGTCCTCTTTTTTTCTTTTCTTTCAGGTTCATATTATAGTTCACATAATATTTTGATTCTTTCTACATAAAATACAAACTAAAATCAGCATTTATATTATTATAATTCCTAATGCTAGCATTAGTTGTGTGCTAGTGGGTATGGTACTGAGTTGTCAGCTATTTATTTGTAAAATCTTTGTAAAATAAAAATTTTCATTTACAAATGAAAAATAGTTGAAAGTTTATGTTGAAATGTTTGCCTGATATTTAGGATTTCAAAATTTTAAGCTGGAGCAAACTTTTCTTACAAATATATCAGTAAGTTTCTTCTTTTTTCCTTTCATCTTTTCTTTATTTCTGTTTTATTACATTTTATTTTATTAAATTTTATTATATAACTGTTTTTAATTAACATTCAGTGACTATCAAGCAAGCAAATATATATATATATATATATATATATTTTTTTTTTTTTTTTTCACTCCAAGCAAGGTGTGGAAGAATTAGAAAACATAAATATTACTAAGGAGTGAGGACAATAGAAAGGTAATCAGGAATACAGTGGATAGAGATTGACAGTGCAATTAAATTTTTGAAGACTAAAGTTGACTGGAAAACATGGAGCCAGAAGAGTTCTACATGCAGGAAGTGCGAGAAAAACTGTTGGCATAGAACTTAGCCAACACAACTGTAAATTGTTGATACCTTGTTGCCAATCTAGTACTGCACTTAAATTCATAAAGTCTAGGTACATCATCAAATAGTTCATCTGAACAATTACCATGAAATTGGAAAATAAAGAAATGTGCCTTTTTCCTGTGTGCATCTTGCAATATGTGTTCCTACATTGATGTGCAAGTGAAACACACCTAGCTTTTTGATTCTGAATAGTGAAACTCACTCTGCTTATAAAGACTGGTTTAGTTCCTCTAATTGACAACAATATCTCTGAGAATCAATCAGTTATGTGCCATGCGTGATACACGCTCAGGTGATCACGTATCTTTCGGTACATGACTGATCAGGTAGATTTTTCCTGCAGTAGGTTGCCATTTCTTTCTGCAGTAGATCAATTGCCATCCAAGGCTATAGAACCTGGTCTGTCCTGCTATTTACCCATAGCTGGGGGAGAAGAGGATTCATACCTTTCCCAAGGGTATTAGCACGTAAGTGAATATAATGGATTTCACTGGAATTTGAACTCGGCTCTCCGATTCCTCAATCTGAGCTGCTATCCATTACTCCACCATTTGCAATTCAATGCTTTGTATTAGACAACTCCTCTTCAAAAATAGAGTATAAACCTTGTTTTAATACAGACACAACAGCAGGCTCTTCCTTAGGTCATAGCCATTCTTTCTTTCTTTCTTTGAATATAATCCACATTTCATCGTTTATGGAAATGGTTTGATAATCTCTTATCCTTAATAATGAACAAATTTTGCTTCTGTATTAAAAATGGCAAGCTGTCAGAGCCTATGAAATGTCCTGAACAAATTTTGACACTTAACCAAGTACATGGAGGTCAGTTAATGGTTGTTGTATTAAACTCCTTTACATTTTCTTGTGCTGTCAGCTTCGGATGAGGATATTTTCAATTACAATTAGGAGAGCTTAATTGTTGATTGAAGTTCATCATTCAGAATGAGCAGAATCTTTCAGGGAAAGATTTCTTAAGCAAAAATAAGAAAATCATCACAGACACTTTATTTCCAAAAACATTGCAAATGTTCCTGACCACTTTTTATGGAGCTCATACAGCATGCAATGTCTCGAATATGTCTCGTGTACACCCATTTTTATGGGTCATATTGGTTCAAAAATTATTCAACTAGACATTAAATATTCCTGATGGGAAAGAGGAAAGATCAGAACAGTGACGCATAACCATGTTTTATATAATCAACTTATTGTAACAAAATGAGAGACTGGATTTTCTTTCCATCTTGATATATTCAACAATGTGGCTTCACCTCAAGTTTATGTTGGTACACATGGTTGAATGAGAGCAAAGCACATGATCTGGTCACATTATTTATGTATATGTTAGATTAATTGGCTTTAATCATGAAAATGTAGTAAAAAGCAAACAGTATCCAGTATTAACAGAAGGATTGGATTTAACTTCATTTTTCCTTCAACCAAGATTTCAAATGTGTTAAGAGCTTTTTACTAAAAACTAAATTTGTCTCTGTATTTCGACAATCCTGACATGAGATGAAGATAACCAGCATATGAAAAAAAAAAAAAAAATGAAGTATCTATATATTAATACACTTGCCATGCTTGGTTGAGATGCAAACAGAAAGGGAGAGGGGGCACTGAGAGACAAAATGAGAGTGCAATACAGAGAAGGATTGGAGGTGGATTATCTTAGATAAAGTCAGTTTTTTTTTTTTTTTTTTTTTTTTTTTTTTTTTTTTTTAAGTGAGAGATAAAATCATGTTTCATGACCTAAACATCTGTTGATGACATTTCAGTATTTTTAAGACAGACTGTTTACTTTCTTATAACTATCTTGGAATAGTCATGGATTGAAAAGTACAGGGTGAATCATTAAAAGATTTCTTAGGAATTCCGTGTAATTTACATGGTTCCTTCTGGTCATATTATAATTCTGCTTGTTCCCTAGTTTGTTAATATGTATGTTAAACTCTTCCTTTACCTCAAATAAATAATGGACTATTCTGTTTTGATAGTGACAAAAGACTGAAGGTAAAAGATATATCACAGATACTATTTGGTTTAAGGAAAAAGAAGGAAGGAAATATAGAAGCTAGAGAAGGCGATAACACTTTAATGTATTTAATGTAAAATGTTGCCAATTTTGGATATTTTTATTTGTACCCTCTTACTTCTTTAAATAAGGTTATGTATTTATAATTATTTTAATTGCAATATTTTGTTAAGGTTGTTAAGCTTAAATATTTAACAAGACAATTGAGGAATTTTCATGGGTATTACATAGTTGCAAGGTGGTTTATTCAATTATTAACTTAGAAATAGTAATTTATCAGAAAATTCAAAATAGGAAAAACTGTGAAATTTTCATAAGTGTTGCTAGTTTTATTAAATCTGTTAAAAGTTAAACTCTTAACAACACTATTGTTGAGTCAAAGAATTTGTTAAATGCAATTTGTTTTTGCTGTTGTAGGTAGCAAATGCAACTTCTATTCATGATGATGATGATGATGTGGATATTAAGCCATCTACTGCAGCCATTGTAAGTTGTTTTCTGTTGATTTTGTAAAAAGGAAAACTAACCAATTGTCCATCTATTACTAACCCTTCCTTTTGGATTTCTCGTTTTCTTAATGATGTTAAATCATAAATGTTACATTACCGACTAACTTGAGTGAGTGATGCAAGGACTGAAAATCTTTTGACAAACAAATATGGCTGCTTTTTGCTGAACTTGATTTGTAATTTAAAGAAAAAAAAAAATTCCAAACCATTTTTATCGAAAATTTATGAATTATACTTTGTTTGCTGCCAAATTTTAACAATTCTTTGCTGGAATTGTTTCAATTGAGAACTTAAGAAATTTTGATGTTCCAGAAGACAAATATAGTAATAAGTACATTTGTATAAACTTAATCTCATATTTAAGTTTACTGAGCGTTTTGCATAAGCAGCATGGTTATTTTATAGTAGGCTGTATTTTTATCAATCTTGCAGTACTTGGCTCAATAGAATTTTAAATGAAAAAGAAAACTGCCCCTTAAAGTTTAATTTTGGTCTGTAGTTATTTTGATATTTGTTTTCTATGGTGTCAAAATCTTTTGAGAAAATTATATAATCACTTCTTGCCTGAATTTTGCTAGCTATTCATTGGAAGCATTTTTCTTTTTTCTTTCTTTTCCTTCCTGCTTGCCTTCCTTAAGTGTCTTGTGTTTTGGAATGTTTTTGAATCTTGTTTCTGTGTGATGCGTATTCATCCATCCCCCCTCATACACAGCACAATATCAATGCTTCTCACAAAGCAAGATCCAACAACATTCCAGCATGCAGTCAACACCCGAGGAAGACCTGAGGTTACACAGCCGAAACAAACGACAAAGATGAGAAAATCAGTCCATGTGCAGCACATACAATGATTATATGAACATTATAGTTTTTATTTTTTTATTTATTTTTTTCTGCTTCTTCAGGATTTCAAACATATTGGAATTAAATAAGAACTTTTTCAGCTGTTGTTTATTTATCTTTATTGTGCTTTATTGTTTCTTTCTCTTGGTAAATATCCAATGTTTTAATTGCTAATTTATAGTCTCTTTCTCATGGTACTGTGTTGAAAGTGATTGGCAGGGAACACCAAACAGAGCCTTGTACTACTTTCTAAAAGTACAACAAGAAGGACTTTCCTTAATTTTAAACAACTCCTCCTCTTCACACTAAATACATTCTTTTGGAATATTTATTAGACATTTGTATTAAAAGATCTAACCCAAGCCAAAAACTTTTATCTGCATTTTTAAATAAATTTGATTAAATACATGCTGAAGGTGAGCCAGTTTTAGTCTTGTGCTGCAAGTGTTGCTATCTCCTTGCTGCAGTCCTGACTTGAACGTTTCTCCTTGTAGACGGTGATCTCTAATTCCAATCAGATGGCCGCAGAAAAGGCTCTTGCTATCCAGGGGGAGAGGTCGTACCGTTGTGCATTTGAAGGTTGTGGACGTCTTTATACTACGCAACACCATCTCAAAGTAAGTTTAGACATTTTGACCTTACTGTTTGCGGCTCATGTGCACATGTCCTCATTTCGGTGTTCATTCACATCTTGCAAAAAAAAAAAAAGTTTTAAAATCTTTTGTTTGGTTCTTTTTATCTTTTGGTGTATTTTTGGAGCATTGCCACAGCACCAGGATGGTGTCTTGTGTTAAGAAAGGCATCTGGCAGTAAAAGCTTCAGATTACAATAATTTAGCCCTAAAGAGACCTTTCTGAATTTTCTTTTGTGAATCTTTACCTCAGCTCCCACAAAAAACCAAAACAAATAAGAAAAGTAATTTAAAAAATAAAAAGTCTTAAAAAAATACAAAAACTGTTGCAAATGCAAAAATGAAAACCAAAATTTATAGCCAGGGAAGATGCAACAACAAAAAACTACAGCCCTTTTCTGATAATGTCAGATTGTGGAAAGGTACTTTTACTATTTCTTATCTTAGACTTGAATTTGACATCATACAGGATAAATATTGTGACTACACTAAAATTGATCCAAATTCAAATTGAATACTTTTTTACATTTAAAGTATTTTTATGTAACACACACAAACACACAGAGCTCATTTTCAGCTCACAATTAAATCTTTCAGAAAAAAATTTACAATTTATATTTTGATGTTTTTAAAACTGAAAAAAATGCTAATTTTTTTTATTAGACTTATATATATATATATATATATATATTTATTATGTGTGTGCACACACACATTGTATATTCCTTTTAAAAGGGGCTTTTTAACATAAAAAATATAACATTTTTTATTTAGTTAGTCATTTACAGGCTTTTTTCTGCATAGCAATTTTTTGAAATAGACATCCACAATTAACAAGTGCCCATTTTGAAAAATGTTTCATGCAATTTTACAAATTGGGCACTTGTTTATTATGGGCATCCATTTTGAAAAATTGCTATGCAACAGACTAACTAAATAAAAAAAAAAAAAGAAAAAAAAAAGTTATTTTTTTTTATGTTAAAAAAAACTTTTAAAAGGAATATATATGTGTGTGTGTGCATGTGTATGCATATTGGTTTAATTTGGGTGACAATCTGACGGAATTGTAAATATATGACAATTTAAAAGCATCATCAAAAAATTTTTTCTCTGACACTGATTGGCAAAACATTTCAAAATAAAGTTTTACAAATTGTTATGTACATATAATTATTAGAATTATAATAGTTCACTTATACAAATCTGTACTTGGAGTTTCACAAAATTTTTTTTCTTTTGATATTTTGGTGAACTAAGTTTATTTACAAATCATATTTCTTTTTCCACTCTAAATTTTTTATCATAGTGTAAGATGTTTGTAAAAATTCTGTTAATAGCTTAAATGTAATTTTTAAGATAAAATTTTGAATTTGTTCTGTTGTAATTAAATCATGCATTAGCTTATATAGAATTAGATTGTATTAGATTATAATTAGAATTTAGAAATTATTGATTATAATTATATTAGGTTATATACAAGTTGAATGTTAATGGAATAGTAATTTTTCTTTTTGATTTTTGTTATTCAATTAGATTTTAGCATTAAATTTACAATAACTGATCCAACTGGCTACACAATGTTTTGGGCGATTCATGTATAGCAAAATATGGCTGATAAAGACATGACCATTTATTAATATTTATTTATGTATTCATTGTCTTTTTTCTTTTAGTCTTAAAAGAAAAAGTCAATGACTACATAAATAAATAATAATAAACAGTCACATCTTTAACAACCATATTTATTGTTTCATCATTTCCTTAAAATATACCTCCAGTTTTGTTTATTTATTAAACAAAGAAAAAGAATCTGCTGTGTGTACTAATTTCTAAATGTTTATATTAAAGTCTGTTTGAGAAAAAATATTGACTCTTCTGCATTTGTACATAGGAAAGCTGTTTTATAATTTACTTGTAATCATAATCTTTTTAAAATGACCACCACAATTTCTTGGAACCTCAACTTTTAACCTTTGTACTGTAAAAGTGTTTATAGCAACATGAATAAAAATGAAACTGTCTTTATCAAATATTTGACAGCACATTCACAGCAAATGATGAAACCTATAAAGATATGGTAGTTAATAACAACATAATTTGTGAACCAAATTCAAACTGTTGAGAATAGCTTGCATTCACTTTACACTCTTGGGAAATGTCTGAGACCATTCTCTAGTTATAGGTAAATAGTAAGGTAAATACAAGTAAAATAGTAATGTTGTCGTCTTTAGTTCTGTAAAGTAATCCATCTTGAGTGGTGGGCTAGCAATCTAGCTTTGTAAAAAAAAAAAAAAAAAATTCATTTTTTACTCAAACTTAAGCTGCAACATTTGGAGTTTTCAGCCCTTTGTTCCACAAATAATCTGCAAAAATAAATTTATAAATAAAATAAATAAGGAACATATTGTATACTGTTTATGTATGTGTGTGAATTCGGCTCTTCCAAAATGTGTGGTTGGTTCTGCACAGGCCTTCACCAGTATAATCGAATGATTTGTGCGGGTAGGCTGACTGTTGGGTCTAAGAATTGAGCTGCTTGACCCTCATACATCGAAAACTCTGTGTGTGTATATATATATATATATATATATATATATATATATATGAATGAGATGCTTGCTCAGGCAACACCCACAAAGCCCATTTATGGTTTATACTGCAACTATGCTGAGCAGACCTTAGTTACAGTTTCTGGGAAAGAGTATATCTAGCAGGATCAACACTCTGAACAAGGCTAGCATACCCAAGCCCTCGGCCATGATGACTTGTGACTTGATGCTAGCACAGACATCAAGAGCACCCAAGGGTTTCGTCTACCCAATTCCACTCACAAGGCTTGGGTCAATCTGTGGTATGGTTTTCAAACACTTTCCAAAGGTGCTGGGATCAACCCCTCCAGTCTGATAATATCAGGAAGTCTCCTTTCAACAATATGACACAGAGTTTCATGCACTATGCAATCACCAGGTACAAATGAACTGGCCATTATCTGGTTAAAATTTCTGGGTTTCACAGTGTTGATAAATTATTACTATTATTAAATATTTAATTTTGCTGTAATGTAAATTTTATATATATAATATACACACTAGCATAATACCTCTAAAAATGATGGGATTATTTATGCTGGATTGGCACTTCTACTGATGAACAGTGTAGTATCTGTGCTCACTGTGAAACATGTTATATACATACATAAATATGTAAGCTTTAAATAATTTTAAAGAAAACTAACACAATGAACCATCTTGATATAAACAAAAATGAAAAACATATTGAATTTATTATGTCATATCCAGGTGTACTCTAATGATGTGCAAGATGAACAGGCATTAAAAGTACAATTAGCATTTACTATAAAAAGTTTAAAGCATCTTCTAACCTAATCATTATCCATAACTGTGAACCTCAAAAATCACACTGATGTAGAAACAATGGCTTATGAATTCTTGTGCTCTTTCGAAGATTGCATCTCTAGCATTAAGAATGATAAAAAAAAAAAAAAATTAAATTTTTATATTAGTCACACACTTTCTCATAGGTTAACTTGTCATGAATCAAAATTTGTGTACATATCAGTCATCGTACCATAAGCAACCAAAATACAACTTTCCCAGGTAGACTTTGTGCCTTGAGCACCTATTTGAACTTAAACTCAATCCAGACCTCTAATGAAATGCATACATGCAATCCATTGCTAAACATGATGGAAAATGGTTGTTTCTCTGTACTGCTCTAGTATGTACTTGACTTCTCCTGCTATTCCATACATCTACGAGAACTAGATCAAGCCGAAAATGGAGTACTTCTACCATATATGCCCAATTTTCACTTTTCAGTCTTGATAATTCAAAAGTGTCTCTACATCCCTGTGAGTAACATTATTTTCCACCCTTCAACCTTTTTCCCAACAAAACAATGCAAACCTCTTGCTGCTCAGTCTTGCTGTTAAGACTAATTACTTTTCTTAATCCCACCCCCATTCTAACCTTCATGGCTAATACATGCCATGCCATGCATATTGTAGTGAGCCACCTTCATTCCCTTCATATTCCCCCCCTGGTGGTAAGATGTAAGTTCCACTCAAACAACTTCTTCCTATGAACCACTGTTTTGCTGAACTGACTCCCAAGATGTTGCTTCCTCGATCAATACACTTTTACCTGTTAATTGTTATCTTCAACACATATCCACATAAGCTGTTACTCTGTATCTCAAATGTCCCTCAGGCCTTGTACAGGGTGAACATCATTGTAAAAAGGGGAGGGGGTGAACATCATTGTAAAAAAAATTAACGTGAGATATATATTAAGAGATAATATCAAAATATACAGGAAAAAATTAAATTAACAAAATTACTCAAAATACTAAAAGCTATACTATACAAAATAAACAACCAACATTAAATATCTTTCACCACAGTGAACAGTATGCATATATATATATATATATATATATATATATATATATATATATTGCATGTGTATAAAAGGCGCACATACAGACATTGTGTTTTATATATTTATAGACAAGTTAAACTCCTGACAATCAAGTTATTTGTTAACTGATAAAGTATTATTTAACTTGGCACAAGACCACTTTTGCAGAGCAAACACATAAAGAGAATATTTAACCAATTTTGTAGAGAATACAAAGAACTGAATTTAATGCTCACTTGGAATTAACCTTCCTGTTGAATATTTTTTGCATAAATTGTTGTGTGCATCTACATCAACAAATTGTCATTTGCTACAGTCAGCTATGGAAGCCCTTACATCTTAACAGGTACAAATGATTATAAATTGGTATATTTAATGTCTTTCTTTTTCTTTTACCAGATTTTCTGACAGGTGTCTTTATTTTGTTATACCTGCATTGATTAACAAGCTCTTTCATCTTTGACAATTTCAAAATTTCTTTTCAGCTTTTACCTGCAAGGTACAATGAGTTAATTGGGCAAGAGGTATACACATATTTTGAATCTGTTGGCAGAAACAGTATTTACTAGCCTATAAGAGGCTTGTAAATATTCTAGTATTATGTATAGGAGATTGTCATCAAAAAGCTTTAGTTGTACAATTGGAAATCTGAACAGCCTCCCCCACCAGAGACCCGTTTTTTTAGTAAAATGGGGGATACCTTATATGACAATCACCTTTTTTATTAATGCCCTCAATTCAGTAGGGAATATTAATTTTGGTGTTCAAACATTATACAGTGAAAATGTCAGATCAAAATTCATATAATAAATGTGGTTGACTTTTGTTTAATTCATGTTCTCTCAGGTCCATGAACGCTCGCACACTGGAGATCGTCCTTTCAAGTGTGAGTTCACCAGTTGTGGAAAGGCGTTTGCCACAGGTTATGGCCTCAAAAGCCATACCAGAGTTCACACTGGGGAGAAACCTTACAAGTGTCCTAAAGATAACTGTGATAAAGCTTTTAAGACATCAGGAGACCTTCAAAAACATGTCCGCACGCACACAGGTATGGTGTTGTTTGGTTTTCATTGCTCTATCTTTTCTAACTTTATAAGCCATTTTTCTTTTCTGAAATGAATGTGTATAATTTAGAATAATACTAAGAAATTATTAGAAAGGAGTCGGATACTAAATATAATCAAGCAGTGTATATTTGTCAATTTAGAAGTCACACTTAAAATATCCAAACACTATCTGAAGTCCAATATGCTATAGAAAACTGGATACCAAAGATTCAAGATCATTTACAATAAACAGTAGATCTATGTGAGGTCAGAAGAGCTGTAATAAACTGTTCAAGAAATTGTCTATCAATGAAAAAATTAACAAGAGGGTGCTGAAAACTTTTTGGGCCAGCTCTTTTCCCCAAATTCTTATAACTTAATTTTTATGCAATTAATGAATTTGGCTACAAAAATAAGGTTAGCAAATATAGACTTTGAAAGATTAAAAAAAGAGAGGTACATTTATTAAATAGGGTAACTGATCTTTGCTTTGCTGTGATGTCTTCTTGTGGCTTAATGTTAAAGCATGCTGTGGTTGAAGAGAAAAATAAAAATAAAATTTACTGCCCTGCTCAGTGAGTGAACCTTCAGTCAGCCAGCCAGAGACTTCAGTTTTTAACAGAGATGTCACTTATTGACTGGAATATGGTCACCCAGTTCTATAAAAGCCAATGTTATTCTTTCTTCTGGGTGTTTTGGCTGCTGTCTGGAGAACCTTTGTCACTCAGGATTGACCCTCACTCAGGATTTTTGCCAGTTGCTTGATTGCTGAGAATTTCAAGTGGAAGAGAAGAAAGAAGACTCTTAATTTAAACTATATTAGGTTAAAAAGTGAATACAGGTTCAAATCCTGCTGGGAGGAATATTCTGTTTAATAAGACTAAGATGTCTGGTATTTCCTAGCATGAATCCTAAAAAATATACCCACTCTCATTTAGTCTATCTTTACAAGTACTAGTCTGATTATTTTATGAAATTAAATATTTTCATTCCATAAATGTTTTTCAGAAACAAATATCTTTGCTGGATGCAATAGATATCTGATGAAGGCCAGTAACATTGGATTCAAAGCAGCAAAAACATGTTGAATTGTTTAAGGGCAGATTTGAAATTTAGTGAGTTTGTGATAATAATTAATTGAGCTGAAGTGACAGAAATTCAGATTTTTTAGTCTACCATCTCATATTCTTTCACATTTAAGTAGTTATAAATATATATAAATTCTTTGACAAAAAGCAATGAACAACTGAAGCCAAGCTGTCCCTAAATGTAATACTCTGTATTCCTATGGATCTTCTCAGTATGGCTAAGTTGAGGAGGCATGTAGTCTTGTCAGTGCGCAGCCTCCATAAACCATCACCCTGGCCAGCATCTTGCGAGATAAAGATGTCTACTACTACAGTTGCTACTACTACTATTGCAGAAAATGGCTGGCTAAATTCAAGTTGTGTAGTTGTATTACAAGCAGTGGATAGATATAAGAAAAGCTAAAATATTATTTATGTTTATTACTTTCAAATGAAGTAGGCACTAAAACACAACCAAAATTTTAGGTTCATCACCCTGACTTGTCTGTAAACATTTCTGTGACATTATCTATATAATCTCATAAGAATGAATGAAAGTTTTGAGCTCTTGTGATACTATGGACACCAACATAAAAAAGGAAGATGTGATTTTATCTTTATCTCCAAGAGTTTCTGTTTTATGGATAGCAGATGTTTAGTCTGGTTTTCTATGCAGCATCCATTTTAACTGACGGGAAACTGGAGAGTAAAGGGAGACCAAGTGACAAAAAAACTAGAAATAATGTATATCCAGGTGCAGGTCTATATTAATTGTCATTCTTGGGATTGGAATCAGTTCTTTGGCAGGAAACAGACTTGTCTGCCACATCATTGCAATGCTACATATTGATACTGCCAGCCACATTTTGGGATATGTAGATGGGTGAGGAGTTGGTAGGGAGGATCTATAATTTTGACATAGCAGAAGTCCCAAGAGTCACCTATTGATCCAGCTAGGTGAAGCCCTGAATAAAACCTCTGCATACAATATGAAAAACAGTTTACATTCTCATCTTTTTACCCTGTGAGCATGCAGCAAGCCCTTTCCCAGCTTTCGGTGTACACTGGTTAGATTGAGAATCAAAATGCAATATGGGTAATCACTATCCTATCAGTGGAAAGCTTTGGCAAGGATTGCATTGTATGTTTACATTATGTGTTTAATAAATCCTGCATATAATATCAAGAAATATATTAACAGAAATAATAATAATAATAATGATTATTGTCATCAATAATGAAGAAATGTTATTTTGTGTGCCTTTTGTTTATTTTACAGGTGAGCGGCCATTTAAATGTCCTTTTGTGGGTTGTGCGAGGTCATTCACAACATCTAATATTCGTAAGGTACATATCCGGACGCACACTGGAGAAAGACCTTACACATGTCGGGAAGCAGGCTGTGGCCGTGCCTTTGCTTCAGCTACAAATTACAAGAACCATGTACGCATACATACGGGTATGTATCGTAGCTTTTATTTCCTATGTATTTTTAAATATTCTAGCTTTTTCTGTTTATGCTCTCAATTTGTGTCAGGATTTAATCGAACTGATACAAAAGTATTTTTAATGCTCCTAGATCCTCAGGTTTTTGCCACCTTATTGTTTTTTATAGACCATTAACTTTGTTTGCTTTTATTGCTATTAAAAACAAGATTGTGTCAAAGAAACAGTCAGTTTTAATAAGTAATATTAATTCCATAGTGAAAAAAGAATAGTGCTTTAATATGTAACTGGTTCAATTATTTTTTTACAGATTGGCAACTTTTAGTCCAATTCTTCTATTGCTAATTTAGATATCATTTCCAGTGAGGGGAAATTGGAAACATTTTTACATTATCACATTAAACCTGCTGCCATTGATTTGATGTCATTACCTAGCAACATTAACTGTTAATAAAAACATTGAAAAGAAATTCACAAGTAAACCATTTTGGTAATTTTTTTTTCTTTAAATAAGCTTCCATTCATGAAAGTGCAATGATTAATTTTCTCATGTTTTATTTTAACAATGCTTCATTAAAAATTCCACTTTTTGTTTAATGATCCTTTATTTGCCTTTATTATCTGAAATATATATTTATGGAAATACAGGGTGCGATGGATAAATTGTCGTCTAAATTACACAAAAATGAAAATAGCATTGACATCTCATTTTAACAGATATATTTACAAAAATTACACAAAAATATCTTGAAGTACTAAAGAATAAATTTATTCAATAAAATCACTTAGCTTCAACCACAGCCTCCAGATGACTTCAGAATCTCTTGCAACTCTTCTGGACAGTCTCCTTGTTTAAGTTGGTGAATGCTGCCATAATCCTTGCCTTCGGTTCATCTTTGGTGTTACAAGTAGTTTTGGTGATCTCTCTCTCTCAACTGCACCCCATACATAATCAAGGGGAGTTACAGTCTGAGGAGTTAGGTGGCCTGATGTAAGGGGTGATGTGGTTGTAGAAATTGTCTAACAGCCATGACCATGCTTGTATGACATGCTGCAGAGTCCTGTTGTCAGACATAGGGTCTTTCAGCAGCCACTCTCTTGACCCAGAGCAACACTACCTCCTCAAGGAACTCTGTGTTGAGTATGAGGCCCTCACCAACAAATCCAGGAGTTCTTTTTTTATCAGAATGATCAGAGTGAGTTTTCTGAGCTGCCATATCTTCATAATCACCATTAGACTCATCCAACTCTTTCCAAATCCTCTGCACTGTTCTCAGATTAACACCCAAATTATCTGATTTGTATTGGAGCTTCCGGCACAAATGCCAAGCTGTACAGCATGCTGTTTCCAAATTTCTGCCATAGTGAATTGTGTCATAGTGCTTCTTTTCCCACACATGGTGCCCAACTGACCCTACTATACTGTGCAGTCAATGAGATCAAAAACAAAAAACGCACATGCGCGAAATTAAAAAAATATATAATGGCGACAATTTACCCATCGCACCATGTATAAGGCATTTTAAAGATAAAATATACTAATCAGCTATTAGACAATTTTGCCTGACTTTTGACTTTTTTATACTAGCAACAGTTAATTAATTTGAGTTAAGCTTTGTGATGCTTAGTAAATTCTCATGTTTGATCCTTATTTCATGCTTAATCCTGAGAGTTACAAATTTCAGTTATTTTCTGAAAGTTGTGTTAAAAACAAATTTGAACCATATTTTCTGACTATTTTAATCTTCTAAAGATTATAAAGCTCAGTCTAGATCAGAAATGAAGTATATTTTATATTTCATTTTTGGATTAAGCTGAGTTTTGTAATGTTAAGAAGCTTCAGACAAAAAAATGTGTAATCCAATGAAAAGTCATTTTTCAATGATGTCAGATTAAAAATCACTAAATCCTCTCACAATTTTTTTTTTTTTTTTTTTTAATTAACTGGATAGGAGTTCACTTGAATCTGATTTCTACAGTTCTGGTTAATTCCATACAGGAAAATTTTTAAACAAATCTCAAGAACTTAACATATTCCAACAAAAGAAAATTTTCATAAAATGTCATGGAAAATGATATGCAAATCTATATAACTGTCTGGGGAATTGAACGACAAAATGGTAAAAAACACACATAATGCATTTGACCCTAGTAGGATTTCTTAGGACTAATAAAATTTAATGTTAATGGCTACTGAATTATGTAAGAGTTGTGGTCATAGATCAATGGGTAGCAGCAATGGAAGCTGAACCCTTTGTTTACATATATTGAGTTCAAATATAGCCAATACTTAAATACAATCAAGATTATTGTTCCATTTTTTTCCTCTCTTATCAGAATTTACTGTCATTATAAAATGAATGAAAATTTTGACATATTTTTCAAAATCAAAGTGGATCAGTTTAGAATGTAGTGATAAAAAGTAACACTATTTTGAAGTTGATCACTGTTGTGACCATGATGAAAATGGTGGGCCCACATGCTAGTCTCAGCTAATAGTCTCTGCTGATATCTCTGACATGAATATTAAGCTCAGCTAATATTTGTTTTCATTTTCTATCTGCACAGATTTATTTTGACATTAAATGAAAAAATAATTATGAAAGAATTTATGTCCATATCATGGTAGATTTTAATTGTACATTTCATGAACTGTATATTAACTTGATTCAAACTGAAATGTTTGTATGTTACAGGAGAGAAGCCTTATGTATGTACGGTACAAGGTTGTGGCAAACGATTTACAGAATATTCAAGCCTTTACAAACATCATGTAGTGCACACACATTCCAAGCCTTACGTGTGCAATCATTGTGGCAAGACATATCGCCAGACATCCACATTAGCAATGCATAAGCGTACTGCTCATGGGGAAGAGGTCAGTTCAGAAGGAGATGCTCTTTATTGTCCTGACCAAGCTTTAGGTAGGAGGATGTCCAATTTTCTTTTTTTTTTTTTTTTTTTTATTACTTACTTTTCTATTTCTCTACTTGGTAATGTCAGGTCTCTCTCTCTCTCTCTCTCTCTCCTTCCCATTATCTCTCTCTCTTTTGTCTCTTTTTTCTTCATGATTAATATCGCTTGTTCTTTTTTTTTTTTTTTTTTTTTCATCTTTCTTGTTGTTAATGTCTTTTTTTTTTCTTTGTTATTTCAGTTTGAATATCCTCTGAACATTAAAGTCAGTAACATGAAGTTAAAATAAAGATATAAAAAATGGCTTCCAACAAGACTTGAACTAGCATTTCATATCCTGGGTTATCTTTTATAGATGATGCCTTAACCAATTTTGCCTCAAAAAAGCTACTATTAAATTTAGCCCAAATCTACATATTACTATTTCTTGGTAAAAAGCCAAGTTGTATAACATTTCAAATAATTATAAATATTACTTCTGTTGCTTGTAGATCATAAACAGACAATAGGACATGAAGATTTTGAGGAGGTATGTGACCATATGATTAATTACACCTTGTCTAGCCATATGTTTTTGTCGCCTACATTGGTGAATGTTTCATCCATGAAAAACAAACTTGCAGGATGTGAGATGTGATCAATAGATCTCTTCAGAAGCCATGTCTTTATTTCAGCTTTTCAATATTGATTTTAATTTCAAGGAAATTTGATCTGAAACAGTGAGATCCAAACCAACCATAATTTAAAAAATATCAAAAGTTGATGATGGAGATGAAATGTCTTAAAATTTCTAATATGGGTTGAGTATCCTTTATCAGAAATTCCCAAATCCGAAAACCTCCAAAATCTGAGTTTTTCTGGTGCTGACATGATTTGCCACAGATGGAAAATTCCAGAAACCACTAGGAAGGTTCTTAGGTGATGTGCAGCTGTTGTAAGTCACCTCATCTTTTCTGGATGGTGGTCCCCCAGCCCAGCTACATAGTCTATGTTGGTGCCAGTTTTTTATTAGCAATCGTCACAGCAACACCTTCGTTCATGGATTACTATCAGGTGTTTCGTGTTCAGTAAAGATATTATTCAAAATGTCAAAAAGTCCTTCATTTATATATTTTTTGTAAATAGTGATCTTTTTCTTTTATATTTACAGAAAGTACAAAAGATTATTTTTATGGGAAATCTTAATTTCACCACTTAAAAACGTTATTATCTATATGTATACAAAATTAATTCAATTTTATATCAAACTATCTTCAGGGTATAAGCTGTGTTATGAAATGTAAAGGAATATCGTAGTTATGCTTGGGTTCTATTCCCAAGCTGCCACATTTTATAGATGCTATATACAAATTAAATAGCCTATATTAAAAAAAAACTGAAGCACTTCGGGTCCCAAGAATTTCAGATAAAGGATTCACAACCTGTAATTTTCTTTTCAGCTCTTTTTAACTTTTCAAAAGTTGCCTCCCTTGGTCTTTGTTGGACAGACAACAAAAATAAATAAACTCTTTTTCTTCAGAATCTGTCTATATGTTCTGAGATGAGGTATTATGTACACTATTTACATTATTACAATCTTTTTCTTACTGCTCGGAATCTGCCTAGTTGTTGAGCTCGTTATGTACTTTCTGCTAATGTCAAGCACAGGTAACGTTATTTTTCAGTGTGCAGGCTAGACTGTTCCCATTTGGAAGATTGCTGCAACATGATCTTCTTCTATGTGTCCCCATTAAATGTTCATCTTTTTTCTTTTCTTTTTTTTTCTCCTCTAACATTTTAGATATCTCGTACACAGTTGTGGATGAGTGTATGGATACTCCAAAGAAGAAACCTCGACTTCATTACAATCTTACAACTGCTGATGCGACTGGGCTCCAAGAAGATGGAGAAGGCACATTAGTTATCAACACTTCAGATAGTGGACAAGTGTGCTACACATCAGAGGGTCAACAGGTAGTGTTCTCTTTGTAAATAGAAAAAAAAAAAAAGAAAAAAATTAGGATTTGTGGGCTTTGATTGTTATTGACATTGGGAATAGAATCAGCAGGCCAAGTTTAAATTCTAGCTGAGGATGTTGTGTTCATTTTGCACCCCCCCATTCTTTTGGGGAAAGGTATGAATCCATATCTCCTCTCCCCAGCTATAGATAAAATAGTAGGACAGGCTAGGCTCTCTAGCCGTTTATAGGGTAACCAATCTCTGGGAGCAACTTTGAATTCAAAACCAATGAAAGCAATGAAAAACCACCCCACTATCTATCTGCTCTCATAGCATTGTACAATTTATAGATGCTAAAGAATAAGAAACTGTGAAGAGCCATAATTGTGACCACCATCCAAAAAGGATAATGGCATTTAAGCAAAGAATAACAAACAAAGCCAGTCAGATATTATCTTAAATTTTTAATTTTTATAAGATGAAGAATTGACTCATATTGACACATTGTTTTTCAAATTTTATTTTTATTTATTTACATTATTTATACTCAGATTATTGTCTTCATCTTTGTTATTATTATCCCAACATTTTAACATTCTGCCTTCATCAGGGTCTTGTCAGTCAGGGTAACCGTCAGGTTTTGAAATCAAAGTTGTACTTTTTCAAGACTGGTTGCCAGCCAGGGCTAAAAAGTTTACTCTGTCCTGCTGTTGAACCCATAGGTAGGGAGAGTAGAAATGGATTCATACCTTTCCCCGGGGTATTTTCGCATGAGTGGGTACAACAACCTCAGCCAGAGTTTGAACTCAGCATGCACATCTCACTTTTCATGCTGACAACTGCTGTGCTACGTGCAATAATGCACTTAATAGTGTGATTATGTCCTTGAAAAATACATTTAAACTTTGTTATATTTTAAAACGTATTTAGTCTACCTTAAAAAATATATTACTTTGTAAATAATCTAATAAATTTTGACATGTAATGTAAATATTTGATGGATGGTTTGCCTTTTCCCTCCATTCAAATACTTGGGTTTAATAAATGCGTAATAAAAAAAGAGCTTTGTTTTCAATTTAGTCAAATAGGGAACATAGCTGAAGTTGCAGTAACATCTGATGTATTCTACTGCAAATTTATTTTCTTAATATTCCCTGCTAAAACTGGCGGAATATTTTATATTAATAAATAAGGAGCGAGGATTTGAGAAATAAAAAAAAAAATGCATAAAAATTTGAAAAGAAAGAGAAACAAAGAAAGATATTTATCTATCAATTAAGAAGAGCACATTTTAAAATTATCAGAATTTCTTGGCTGAAGTATTTTCATTGTTAATTTCTGACCAGCCAATCTTGAATGTTGAATGATTGGAAATAGCGTCTGATTAGATTTCAGCCCACATTCTGCATCCATAGTCGTCTATCAGACATGGATGACAAAACTGAGATGCTTAGCCGAAGAGATCAGCCACCAATGCAAAGGGTAATCTAATTATATAGTCACATCTTTTCTCTAATACACTTTGCTTAAAAGGTTGTAGACAGTAAAATCATCTGAATGTTGCAATAAAAAGCAACAATAAAATGAAAGAAAAACTATTCAGAAATTGTTAATGAAAAATTCTTCCTCTAAGAAACCTGAACAGTTAATGACTATTGTCTACTATTTAGTATTTATTAGTAAATAATAACAGAAATTAATAATGACGGATATACTTGGTGAATTTATTGTATTTATCCATCATTGTATGTTTATTTCTATTGCTGGTTCTACTCTCCTCAGAATTACTGCTAAGAACCTCCCCTCTCCAAATTTATAGACAAATCCTACAGATGCATGCTGGGATTTCTTCCTAATCAATAAAAATGAATCAATTCTCTGTCTCATCCCTCATATTTTTGTTCTTTCTTGTTTTGAAGGCAGAACACTATAACCATTTGACTGTATCTTTTTCTTTTTTTGCGTATGAACACAATTCTTACTATGTGAATCTTTTTGATTTATTACTGTTGCTTTAACTTGCTTCGTATTATTTTGCCCTGTTCTTTTTTTTCCTTTTCTTATTGTTTATTGAGAACTTTGTCAATTCTGCTTAACCATGGCCAATTACTCCACAAGGCTAAATTACAAGTAGGAAGATTGTATAGTGGCAATCTTCCAAGTGAGTAGGGCCTGCTTGTCTGCTATGGAAACTAATTTGAAATCTTGGCATTTGATAAGTAGTGACTAGTTAATTGAAAACTTTTAACTCGCATTGATTGAATGACTTGAATGGCTGTGGTTTATACTTGGATGCAGGTGAGAACTTTTAAAGGAAATGAATTCAAATTTTTCAAAAGTCATGAATGTCACACATGGAGGAATTTTATAAACTTTATGTAAGGAACAGGCATAGCTCACCAAGAAGAGAAAAAGAAAATTGTGTGTACGTGTGTACAGATAGCTGAAAAAGGAAGAAAAACATTTATGGGATTAATGTAGTATGGGTGTGCAAATTCTATGTATGTGTACCACATGGTTGGGTTGAAATTTAACATCCTGCCCTGGGAAAGCAATCTCTCCAGAAAGAATGAGTCCTAACTTGTTGTTATTACATCTTGGAGCAGAAAAAGGAGATAGTTTATGTCCTTTCTTTTTATAGTCTTGTACAGTGTTACCAATTGGTGTCCTTGCAGACAAGCTGTGAGGTAATCCTCACATATATGGACATGGGAAAGTGTTTCTTGGCAGGGGGGTTACTTTTTGGCTGAAATTGTTTCATCCTTCACCAGTGTCATCAGTTTTGTTGGAGTTTAGTTATAAGCAATGAGTTTTAATGTTGATTTTCAAGATAGACAATCCCTACTCACTTGGAAGATTAGATGCAACACTATCTTTCTGTCTTTTAAATGTATACCTATGTAGCATTGGTTGATTTATTTGTCTCCATCTTTGTTTTTATCACATTGTTTCAGCCAGTCTACCCTCCAACCTTCATCAAGTGTGTGATGAGCTGTGCTGGGCAAAGACTAAAGGACACAACAGCTGATATGTTGCGCTAAAAATAATAGAGATGGGGACAATAGTTAATGTGTAATTAATTCCTCATCACCTAAATTCAGACAGAAATTATTGGCTGATTTGTTCACACTGCCAGCATCCAACATTTCAAATTAAAATAAATGTCCTAAAATATTTGACCCCCTGTTGCATTTATAGCTTTGCACCTCGCTGCTTATTTTCTTCTGTAGATTACTATGATGGCTGGAACTGAGCGTGTGAGTGTGGTGGCTGATGACAACACAATGGTAGCTTTACAGGCAATTCCTCACCCAGCACAAACCACAATCAACCAACACGGGGTGGCTCATATCAGTCTTGGGGATCACAATCAACATGTGTTTGTTGTCACAGATCCATCACAGTTGCAAGCACTGCAGGTAAAACAGAACTTCTTTCTTTCTCCTTTCTTTCTTTCTTTCTCCTTTCTTTCTTTTTTTCTCCTTTCTTTCTTTTTTTCTCCTTTCTTTCTTTCTTTCTCCTTTCTTTCTTTCTTTCTCCTTTCTTTCTTTCTCCTTTCTTTCTTTCTCCTTTCTTTCTTTCTCCTTTCTTTCTTCTTTCTTTCTTTCTCCTTTCTTTCTTCTTTCTTTCTTTCTCCTTTCTTTCTTCTTTCTTTCTTTCTCCTTTCTTTCTTCTTTCTTTTTGCTTTCTTTCTTTCTTTTTGCTTTCTTTCTTTCTTTTTGCTTTCTTTCTTTCATTTTGCTTTCTTTCTTTCTTTTTGCTTTCTTTCTTTCTTTTTCCTTTCTTTCTTTCTTTTTCCTTTCTTTCTTTCTTTTTCCTTTCTTTCTTTTATATAA